TCAACAAAAATTCAAATTTCTTAAATCACCACTTTTAATTCCAATTTTCCCAATGATTATACATTTAGGATTTACAATCCATCATTTTAACCCATCAATTTAACTCCCAACATCTTCAAACCTTAAAACCCCCCCATTTCTCATACCATACATTACATGCTCAAAAATGGGAATTTTTGCATTTAAATAATGGAAATACCACAAATCTATCTATCAATATAAGTATTGAAAAGGATTAGGATCCCTACCTCGAGGAACAAACAAAGGAGTGAGCTTAGATGAGATTCCTCCACAATTTCAAAATTCCAATCGGTAGAACATGATAATCTTCAAGCTTCTTCACTTCTTGATGGGTAATCTTTATCAAAACAAAGGGAAATGGAAGGTATTGAAGATCAAGGACCTAGGGTTTTTCGGTCCTAGGATAGAGGAAAGAAGAGGGGAAAAGAAAATGTAAGAAATGATCTCAAAATCCCGTTTTTAAGCTGCTGTACACGCGAAACCCGCTCGAGCGTCCCTATTCCCGCTCGAGCGTACCCGCTCCGTGCACAGATTTCAAAACTTCAAATAGGTGTAACTCTCCCATCCGGACTCCGTTTTAGGTCGTTCTTCTGTCCAAATTAAAGCCCCGGAAATAAGCTTTCCAATGGTTCTAACCTCACATTCAAATTCAAAGTGCGGAAAAAGAAAAGGGCAAATGAATGACGGCTGATTGTAGAATAACTATCCGAATTATATTCTTTGGTCAATTCTTACTTTACCATCATACCACCATCTCAATCAATACCCCAAATAAGATAAGAACATTCCAAATACACTTATAAGAATGTCAAAAATGAGCCCACATGCCTCAGAAGTTCAAACTTAACCAGGAGACCCGCTCGAGCGCCCAACCTTGCGCTTGAGCGCGGAGACCAACGAAGCCGTCCGCTCGAGCGACCACATCTACGCTCGAGCGGAAAATCACCACTCCCAGAATTTCAGTCCGCCTGCCAAATTACTGGAAACCCCAAAAATCCGCTCGAGCGCCAACTGCCCCGCTCGAGCGGAGGGAAAAATTTCAAATCGTTACAGTAAAGGTCGTCAATTCTAGTTTTAAAGTCATAACTCAACAAATAGTTCTTCAATTCTAATAGGTATCGTTGAATTAAAACACATTAACCCCTAATTAAATAAGGATGACGTCCTATACGCATTTTCGGGTCATTACACCTCAGGTTTGACTACTCCCCAACATTTCTTATAAAAGGCCAAATTAAATCCATCAGGTCCAGGTACTTTATTACCATCACTATTCTTGATAACATATCTGACTTCCTCCTTCGTAAAATTTGCTTCCAACAGCTCCGCTGCTTGATGACCTCCAATATTTTTGAACTAGCCAAATAATGAGGGTCTAGTATCGCAAGATTCGAAGAAAAGATTCATGAAGTGAGACTTCACCTCCAACCGAACCTCTATAAGTTCTTCCACCAATGAGCCATTCACCATAACTGAACACAAAGAATTTATGCTATTTCTATTAGAAGCCATAATGTGAAAATACCTTGTATTCATATCTCCTTTTGATGCTCAATTAATTCTGGACTTTTGTAACCATGTCCATTCCAACTTTTGTTTAATCTCCAAATTTCACTCATAATTTCCTTCCATCTGGCTTGTTCAGTCCCCAGAAATGTTCTTTCTTCAGCAATTAACTCCATGGCATTGGCTTCCTTCTACAGCCTTAAGCTTAGATTCAAGCATTCCAAACTCTTCAATATTCCACACTTTTAATTTGTGTTTTAAGGCTTTCAATTTCATGAAACATCTATACCCGACCCCAACCTTCAACCTGGAAATCTGACCAAAATTTGTCCACTAAACCTGCAAACTTAGGATGAAGGGTCCAAGCATTCAGAAACCTAAAAGGACGAGGACCCCAATCTCTTTCATCCTCCATCAAAAGGATAGGGCAATGATCAGAAATCAATCTAGGAAGACCCCATAACTTGAAGTTGAAGTTTTGTACCCATTCATGATTAAGCAAAAATCTGTCTATTCTACTCCATTTCTCTCTAATTTGTGAGTTACACCAGGTAAATTTCCTCCCAAGCATGAGCAAGTCAATCAAATTTCACTTACAAATTGTATAGTTTCTCACAAAAGTTATAACTTTTTTACAATATACAAGTGCAGTTTGTAAACTCTCATTTTTATAAATTTTAATTATTTTAACATGTTTGTTATTTATCTAATATTCTCTCATTGTAAACCAGATTTCAAGCCTTCTTTCGTTCTTTTTTTCCAGAGCAAAAACAAAACAAAACAAAATATATATATATTATTATTATTAATGAAACTCAAATTAGAAAAGGGCACTCAATCCCTAAATCCAAATCTTAATTTTGCTTGGCTAAAGGTCCATGTGGTGAAATACTTTGTCCAAAAGGACAAGATTGAACAAAATGACCAAAATATCCCTATATATATACATGGTCCCAAATTCCCAATACCATCACACAATAACACATATTCACACACTCTCTCTCTCTCTCTCTCTCTCTCTCTCTTCTTCGAAGCCTAACCCCCCCTCTCTCTCTTCTTCGAAGCCTAACCCCCCCTCTCTCTCTACTCTCCATCACTACTGATCGTTGCCATCTTTCCATTATTAGAGCTCCATTGTTCCTATCACCTTGCGAACGCCGGCGTGAGATCTTTGTCATCCTTCTAAGCTCAAGCTCTACCATCCTCCTCCTAACCTCTATCTAGATCTACCGCTATATCCATCATCTTTGTCGAGATCTACACCATCTCTACCATCACCGATAAAGAAAAGGGAAGAGATAGAAGCCGATCTCCACCACTACAGCATCGAGATCTCTAAATCTACTCCAAGACCTCTAACACCAACGATGTTCTCCTTTGGCTACTTCCTCCGCTGCTCCTGCGGCTCGTGTTACATATTCATCCTCAAATCATCATCCTCTTGATCTGCCACCACCCCCACATCATCTTCGTCGACCTCACTCGATGCCACCGACCTTTGACTCGTCGAAAATTATCATGTCGTCCCAACTCCACTCTAGCACTTCCTCAAATCTCTATGTGTGTGTGTGTGTTTTGTTTTAAAAGATAAAAGTCCAAATTTTAATTTGTTTGTGTTTTGCTTTCACGTTGCTACTGATATATATATATATATATATATATATACATATACATGAAGGAGATGGATCTCGAAATCAAAATACATTTAAATAGAATTTCATTAACTGAAAACTTAAAACATAACTTACAATTGTATTAGCGAAATCAAAATACATTTAAATAGAATTTCATTAACTGAAAACTTAAAACATAACTTACAATTGTATTAGCAACTGCAAGGATCTTGATTAGGGGAAAACAGAAAGCCAAAAGGGCGCTCAGAACACTCTGGTTTTCTTACAACAATGAAGGATAAGAAAATTTTAGAATGTCTGAATCCTTACAATTGATTACAATATAAAGAAATAAAAAGTAAAACAGTGAGCATGTGAATTCTGAAAGCAGCTGGCCGAGCAGGTGAAAAGCAGATGCTGTCGGATGCTTTCGGTGGAGTGATTACACAACTGAGCAGCCTTTAGCAAAAGTTGATTGGTTGAATAGTGACGGTGAACAGTAAAAGTGAACAGTAGTTTTTACTATTCATTACTTTCGGTGGAACATGTGAATAATGGAATCAATATAAATACAAATTGGCAGCTTTTCTCAAAAGAGTATTGATTGAAGCTAATTTGTATTTATATGGAATCCAATGTTGATCAGACAAATGGATCCTGAGCATCTTGAAATTCGGGTCCTGAATACTGATTGGTTGATTCTTCAGAAGAATGGATCTGGGCTGACCCGTCTGAACTGTCTGAATCGGTGGATTGAGCTTTAGCTTGATTCAACAGTTGATGGGCTAACTGGATCATGTCTGCTTTGGATGATTGGGCTTTACTTTTGGATTTACTTTTGGGCTGAACAGGAGGTGGAATAGGCTTTGCCTTGACTTTGGATTGTACTTTGGACTTGGATTGGGCTGGTTGAGCAGCAACAGCTTTGGACTTTGATTTTGTTGATTTGGGCTTGGAGCCACTAGATGAGGGGCTGCCAAGGTTGACTGGAGGAAGACTGGGCTGGCTTCCTTGAGTGACTGCAGCAGTTGGGTTCTGCTGGACTTGAGCAAGAGCAGGAGTTGGAGCAAATTGATCAGGTGGAAATTCTGCTGGAACAATTTCAAGAATTCTGGGAACATTGAATTTATCCCACCATTTAACTGTGTGTTGGCGGATGATAATATTATCATCAATCCCATAATTCCATTTGAATATCCATGGAATCTTGTATTTGGCAATGAATATGAGTAATAAGGGAAATTGCTTCTGGTGAGCAGAAAATGGGTAAACAGAGTTGAAGTAATGAATTATATTTTTGAGATCATCAGGAAGGATAGCTGAAATGGCGCCATAGTGAGACCACCATCTCAGAAACCAAGTGGGTAACTCAGATTTGAATTTCTGATCAAATGAGATGAACCAAGAATGACTAAAAGTTTCATTTTGGTACAAGAAAATCTTGAACCAAGCATCAACGTAATCATGATAATTATATGGAATAGAATGGCCAGGTAGATCACGAAGCTGGTTAGGATTACCCCATTCAGCCATGGAAACAATATTGTGAATATAAAGTGAATGGTATAGGACCTTATAAGCATATAAACAATGGTTTTTTTTTTTTTTTTGGAAAGGTTTTTTTGTGTATTTTAAAACCTAAACCCTAAAAAAAAAATAAATAAATCAACACAGTCCAAAAAATAAAATAAAATAAAACCACAAAAAATAAAAAACTCAATTTTCAAAAAATTTAATCCAAAAAACTCAAATCAAACGCACAGACGGTTTCTCCCCCCCCAAAAAAAAAAGAAGAAGAAAAATCCTTGCAAATTTGCACAATGAATAAATCAATGATTGAAAATTTTAATTAAAGTATGCATGAAGGTAGAATTTTATATTAACATTTTCTTATATTTCTTTAATTTATAGAAAGAAAAAAAAAAGAGTGATTTATTGCAAAAACAAGTTTAAAAAGAGTAAATATACATAGTTTTATCTCAATTTCTAGTGAAACTGTCTCCATGACTTAGTTTTGCCGTCACGATGCTAATATTATCATTGAGCATAGCCTTTACCTTCTTAATTTATATATTGGATATTATTATTATTTTTATGTCACTAAGGTTGAACAATATATATATATCAAATGCTTGGACATCATAACGAAATGTAAAAGCAATATCTCAAAATTTCTCAACTCCGTGCCAACATCCCATGAACTCCCTCTTTCTCCTCCCAAGTACTTGCAAGAAGATGATATTACCCAAGACTGCAGGGAATTACTGTCTTCCCTTCCGAAAGAAAAAGGGTGGGTTGCATCACACCTCTATCAATACCAAGGCTTTTGGCACCCATCAAGGCAGTTGCAAGGAGTACTTTCATGTCAACAAGGATTTCAAGCTCAGGACACAGATATCCTTCTTGTCACCACACCCAAATCAGGCACCACTTGGCTCAAGGCAATCCTCTTTGCATTAGTAAACCGAGCACAATATCCTAATGATATTACCAGCCAACAACAACACCCATTACATGCAAACAATCCCCATGATCTTGTCCCCTTCCTGGAACTCAAGCTCTATGCCGATAACCGTGTCCCGGACCTTACCTCCTTCACTTCTCCAAGGCTCTTTTCAACCCATTTACCGCCCTTATCCCTTCCTGAATCTATAAAATGTTCAGCATGCAAGCTTGTCTATTTGTGCAGGAACCCAAAGGATACTTTTGTTTCACTTTGGCACTTTACAAACAAGTTAAGACCCAAGGACATTGGAACCAATTCACTAGAAGATACATTTGACAGGTTCTGTAGGGGGGTGAGCTTGTATGGACCCTTTTGGGATCATGTGTTGGGTTATTGGAAGGAAAGCTTGGAAAACCCTGGGAAGATACTTTTCTTGAAATATGAGGAGATGAAAGAGAAACCCGATGAACATTTGAGGAGAATAGCTCAGTTCTTGGGCTACCCATTTTCCCCAGAGGAAGAGAAATTAGGGTTGGTGGATGAGATCTTGGGATTGTGTAGCTTTGACACCTTGAGCAAGTTGGAGGTGAACAAGAGTGGAAAGTTGCTGTCCGGAGAGGAGAATAAAACATTCTTCCGGAGGGGTGAGGTCGGAGACTGGAAGAATTTTCTGTCGGCCGAGATGGAAGACCGACTCGATCAGATCAGTGAACAAAAGTTACACAAATTTGGGTTGAAGTTTTAGATCACCTAGGCTAGACCTAGACCTAGGTTTGACATTGTCATTACCTCAAATAATGGTATGTATGTTACTTCTTTTTGCTTCATGTCAGACTGTTAATTTGATGTATCAGAACGTAGTAGAAACACAATAAGATATTAGTGTTGTTGGATTGTACTGTATCATTATAGTCAAACAATTCTGTTGTTTGAATATGATACCATTGCATTATGCTAAATAATTTATATATGATTGTCAAGTTTCATAAAAGTCTACTATTTTTTATATCCATTCTCGGAAAGGTTGTCAATGCATTGTGATTTTGATAATTATAAATTTCGGGTACTATATTGACATATGCAAGAGCTTTTTTTGATACTGTATCAATTGGATTTGTGCTGCAGGGTATTATCAAATTTATCATTGCCAAAAATATCAAAAATGGTGTGGATCCTGTTTTTTTTTTTTCATTACCAAAAACATCAAAAATGGAGTGGATCTTGTATTTTTTTTTTTTCCATTAACCTAATTATAACAATAATTATAACAATAAAAAATCACCTACTTCTAGATGCCCCAAGAATAGTTATGGGCTCAATTAAGTGGTGAATTAATGGTTAAATATTAAGATTTTTTACAGGTCAGTCTCATAAAATAGATTTAATTATCATTAAATTATGTAGATCTTTTAAATACACCAATAGCCGATCGACCATCACCATTGCCAATATACAGTCTATCTTCTCCAACTAAGCTTTAAATATTTGATCTACACTGTATCTTCTCTGATCTACATTCCACCGAGCCAATTTGTACACTAGCATCAAAAATCCTTTGGAAAAATTTCGATAATCACTTCGGAATTTGAAAAATCTCCCCGAGCAAAGATTTTTTTACTTTTTGATTTGGCTTTGTTTGGGTTTGTTTCTATTTCGACACAAATCGCGATTATAGCCGACGGTGAGATCGCGCGACGAGGGCGACTACAATACCTACTTTAGCTACGCTGCCGTCGATCCACCACCATATCACCCCTAGTTGGGATCTCTCGGTCAAGATCTCTCCCTCTTCCTTTCTCCCTCTCTCTCAAATTTGAAGAAGATGAAGAGGACTGCAACAAATCTGCTTGAAATACATATATCAATACATACATCAATATATATAAAGGAAAATGTTTGAGGACCACAATTTTTATGGCTACAATGGCTCAAAACTGCCAAAACGACGTCGTTTTGGCATGTTTTGCACTCAAAACGACGTCGTTTTTGACAGTTTTGAGTCATTGTGGCCACAAAAATTGTGCCCCTCTAGCATTGTTGATATATAAATACACATACTGTAGCGGGTGATTAGTATTGAAGTAAGCTAGGGTTTGGTTTGGAAAGATAAAGAGGAGAGAGAATACCGAGAAGAGAAAAGAGAGTGTTGTGATGGCGATCGGTGCAGTAGGCTATGGTTTGGTGAGAGAGAGAGAAAGAGAGAGGGGTTTGGTTTAAAAACAAATGCTTACACAATGTATATATATGGATATTTTAGTCATTTCGCAAAATGATATCCTTATGGACATACTATTTTACTATATAGACTTTCGAATAAAGAAATTCAGAATTATATTTATTGCCCAAATGTTATATTAAATAATAAAAATACAATTTATAATAAGAATTATTTTTGCAAAAGTAGTACTAGTACAACATGTGAATTTGGTTCTGCTGGAGGTGTCGACTTGATTAGAGAAAAAATTTGGCCCATCCTATTAAATAATAAAAATAAAATTTATAGTTTTTATAATAATAATTATTTTCCGAGGAGTAGTACTAGTACAAGATTAGAGAAATAATTTGGTATTTTGCGGCATTGATACAGTTGGACTGTCATGAGTTGGTCTAAAAACTACTGGACTGTCTAAAAACTACGTACTTATATGGTTCGGGGAAAGAATTGAGCCAGAGAGAGTTGTGACCCACTTACAATTGCCAAACACGCTGCGACAAAACAATGCTCTTGAACTCCCATTTATTAATCAATAATGTTTGGTGTTTCAAATTTTCATAGTTTAAGGATTTAAATATCTTAAAATGACATCGTTATGAATAAAACGTTGTCGTTTTACTGCATTCGAATTATTCAAACTACACAAATTCAAGTTATCAAATATTTTTCTTTATTTATTTGTCTTCTTCCGTGCAAATTCCATTTTCCTTCATCTAATAGTATTTTCTCAATAAACTTCCAGAATACCTAAAAGTATGAAAATAAACATAATCACTTTGTTTGGTGTCAGTTTTTAAAATTCACTTTTCATAGAATTTAAAATTTTTGTTTTCCGTGTAATTTTGTTTTCACTGAATTTTTTTGATATTTGAAGTAATTTTTTAATTTTTAGACACACCTAACATAAATACACTTAAAAAATACAATATTTGTGAAAAAACTTTAAAAAATTAACTAAATACCGAAAATATAAAAAAAATGAAAATTTAGCACATTTTTCTTATTTTTGCGTATTTAACAATTTTTAAAAATATTTTTTAATAAATATTTTACTATTTAGATACATCTAAGTAAGGTACATTTAAACAAGTAAAAAAATTATTTAAAATTTTAAAAATATTCACTAAATACAAAAAGATACGAAAATGAAAAACTTAATTTCAGAAAATTAAATTCAAAAAATTGAAACCAAACACGCTGAATAAGATAAAATATTATATAAAATTGATTTAACAAAGTATAAATTAAGGGTATAAAATATGTACTATAATGGACACATCAAGCATGTGGCCTAGATCTACGCCTGAAAAAAGTGAGAAGAATAACTAACTCAATTACTCATCAATTAGGATGACACTGCGATGATAAAGTCAATAATTAATCTCTCAAAGATATAACAACAAAATAATTAGAATACTTAGATAAAAACTTGCATTCCCTAAACCTACAAGGGTGCCTACTTTATATAGGGTACCCTGTCTCTCCCAGTGATTATATTCATGTCAACCTCCTATTCTCTTTGGCCCTGTTTGTTTTGGGATATAATGGATGAGAGGGGATTAGGATGGAGGTGGGGTTATTTACTGTTGTGTTTGTTTGTAGAGTTAGGGAAGGGATTAGGATGGAGGAGAGGATATAGATGGAGGTTGGAAGGGAGATTGGGATGGAGGTGGTGAATGTGGTATTAGAAAAATAGTGAGGGGATTAGAATTTTTTTTATTATTTTTATTTTTTATATATTGGGATTTTTTTAAAAATATTAATGTTTAATTTTATATATATTTTTATTTGTTTTATTATTTTATATAAAAATAATTTAACTATTCCTATACTAACAACTATCATCAAAACATACACAATTTTACCTAATCCCCTCACTAACAATCCCTTCACTATTAATTCCTTCATTATAAATCTCCTCCACTCTACCTCAGAAAACAAACAGACCACTTAGAAATAACTAGACACTTCGGACTCATCTATCTTACTTGGGTTAAGATTAACTTCTTAGAAAAATCTAACTCACCAAACCTAGGAGATAGTGAATCATTTCCACACCTCAACCAATCACATCTTATCATGTGACACCTCGACTACGTGGCCAAATCAAAATAATGTCTACACTAATAATTCTTTGCATTTTAAAAAAAATAAAGAAAATAAAGGAATTGTATCAAACAAGTGGAAAATAACATTGTCATAGAGGTGGGAGGTCTGAGAAAGTTGTGTAATTTTGTAAAGAAACTAAAGGTACTTTAAACAAATGAAACGAGTGGTCAATTGCTTGGCAGCACATATCACTGTCTCAACAGCTTGTAATTTGTACTCTTTTACTCAATTTTGATATATATCCTGTTTATTCAGATTCCAAAAATATCATGGAAGAATAATATAAATAATTAGTCTAATAACATTAAAATTAATCACATAATTTGACATAATTTTCTTAAGATGGTTGAATTTTTTTAGATGTGAATCCTACCAACAAAGTTTGTTAAAAATTTTCTATTCATGTATATTATGTATCTAATTTTATGATCAATCTTTGTATTTATAGTAGAAAGAAAAAAAGAAAAAAAGAATCAAATTTTAAGGTTGTGAGTCACTTGAAAACTATGTATATATTCTTATGGACCAAGTTTAATAAAGTGCTAGTGAGAGCTGTAAAAGGTACAAGTCGGTAGGTGTAACCAGCCCGCGGGGGACCTCGCTACAGCTCGGACTCGATTTTGTGTCATGGTTCTAAATCTTGAACCAAAGAGTCCAAATCCGGCAAATCGTTTTGAGAAAACAGATTTTTGAAAGAAGTGCCAAACATGGACTGCTTTGCCAGATATCACCATGCAACCTAGAATCGAACATGGTCAGGAAAGTTTCCAGGAAGACTGGAGGGGTCACACCGGTCCCACTTAAAACCCAGTTAACCTTAGACAAAACTTTCAAGAGCATGTTAACTCCTAATCCATGGGAAACAATTTTTAGAATTAAGTTTTTCAGGGGATAAACTAAGTTAACACAGACTAAGTTCCAAACTTACATGCAATTTAAAATTGCTAACCAAATTACAAGCAATATAAAAAATTGCTATAACAAAAACAAGCAAATAAAATGCTTCAACATATTGGTAAATAACCACAGTTAAAACTCAAGCAAACAATTGCCTCAAATTTAGTCCAAAAAATTCCTTTCTACGTTTAGGTACTCATGTTCAACACAAAGGTTAGTAGTCTAAAGTTTTTTGTTTTTACATCCCAAATACTATTAATTTTGTTTTATATTTGTTTTCCCAATTCCTTTCACATAGGTATCCTTGTAAACAGAGTTAGCAGAAAACCACAACAAAATACAAAACAAATAATTGGGAAAAAAAACTATAAAAGCAATTAGTCAATTTGTCAATTTATACCTTCTAGCAACCTAGTTAATAACAAAATTAACTAATGAATTAAAATGCTAGATGAGTTACAAAAATAAACCTATACCTCTAAGAATTAAATTAAATGTGAATAGCCATGAGCTATATATATAAAATTATTAGACAATAAACATGCAAATAAATATATTTATATTTCTTATTAGAATCAAAGATCCACACAAGCAACAACATAGTGAAACTGGAAAGGGCAAATAGAACACATGTAATAGTGGGCTAATTTGCATAAAAAAACAATGAACAATTGTAGGGGAAAAAAAATTATTATCCATTACATATGAAGCTATTTATCCTAATTCATAGGGAACACATATAATCTGTTTTAAGTTTGTTGTAAAAAAATTTTAATTAGATAAAC